TTTAGTAAATTTGAAGATTGATACTCTTCTAAGACTTCTAGATGATTTTCAGGTCCTGATACAAGCCTTGCAGATGTGTTAAGTTGTTGGACAAGATAGCGATTGGTCTGAAACATTAAAATGACAAATGAATCGAGGTTGTTTAACATTGAACGTTTGTTTTATGATTGATTGCAGAGTCTAGAGCAGGAAAACCAGTGTTGAACTGGGCTAGGAGGCACAAGATTGCATTAGGCATCGCCCGAGGACTAGCTCATCTTCACACAGGTCTTGAAGTGCCCATTACACATGGAAACGTTAGATCAAAAAACGTGCTTGTGGATGACTTCTTTGCAGCGAGACTGATGGAGTTCGGGCTCGACAAGCTAATGATACCATCGGTGGCTGACGAAATCGTGTCGCTTGCAAAATCAGATGGTTACAAGGCACCAGAGCTGCAAAGGATGAAGAAATGCAATTCCAGAACAGATGTGTATGCATTTGGAATCTTGCTATTGGAAATTCTGATTGGGAAGAAGCCAGGAAAAAGTGGAAGAAATGGAGAGTTTGTGGATCTGCCATCAATGGTGAAAGCGGCTGTTTTGGAGGAGACAACAATGGAGGTTTTTGATGTGGAGGTGTTGAAAGGGATCAGAAGTCTCATGGAAGATGGAATCGTTCAGGCATTGAAGCTTGCAATGGGCTGCTGTGCTCCAGTGGCTTCCGTAAGACCCTCCATGGATGAAGTTGTGAAGCAGCTGGAAGAGAACAGACCAAGAAACAGATCTGCTCTGTACAGCCCAACTGAAACAAGAAGTGAAATTGGTACGCCTTTTTGATCCCTTTTCTGCCTCTTCGAATCATGATGAGCTTCACTAATATCATTATATTCCCCCCTTCACTTTATTTTATCACATTTTACTTTAACGTGAACTTAATTGTAATACATGCTGATAGCGTTCATTCATGCCAGTAATACAAGTGATTGTGGTTAAAAGCAGTTTGGTTCCAATGATCTAGTGCCCCTAAGTGTGAGATCCCACATTGGTTGGAGAAAGGAACGAAGCATTCTTTATAAGGGTGTGGAAGCCTTCCTCTAGTAAACATGTTTTAAAAACCGTGAGACTGACGGCGATATGTCGTGGACTAAAGCGGACACTGTCTATTAGCGGTGGCTTGGGCTGTTACAAATGGTATCAGAGCCAGACACCGGATGGTGTGCCAGCGAGAACGCTGGGCCCCCAAGGGGTGGATTGTGAGATCCTACATTGGTTGGAGAGGGGAACAAAACATTTCATATAAGGGTGTGAAAACTTCTCCCTGTTTTAAAAACCGTGAGGCTCACGGTGATACGCAACAGATTAAAGAGGGCAAAATATGTTAATGGTGGCTTGGGCTGTTACAGTAAGAATATTGATCTGACTATCACGAACTTAATCATAACTTGATTGATAAATGTATGTGTCATTGATTACGAGTTTAGAAGTTTGAATCTTCATCTTGCATGTTGAACTTTAAAATAAAGTCATATTCTACATCGTGGGCAAGTGTTTGAACGAACGTACCGCCCCAATCGCCTCAACGGGAAAATGAGTTGCAATAGTTTAAATGAAATTGCAGAGAACCAAAGGGACCAAAGAAATCATGGTAAAGGAAATAAGTGTCCCATGTTTACTTGCCTTTATACTCGATGCATGTGGGCTCAATACCATTATATTGTCTTTACTTTGTACAGAAATTATTACTTCGCCTTTGGTGGAATTATGCAGTCAATACTTTAAATTAAATAACGGCTATTATTATTATTATTATTTTTATAGTTTTTTTTTTTTTTAAATTTCACCCGACGAGAGTAGAAATTCGAATATGTGACCTCTTAATCGAGAATATATATTTGAACCCGTTTAACCATGTTCATGGGGATGACTGTTCTTTTAGTTCACAAGTAATTCTTCTTTACTTTTCCTTGAGTGTTACGTTATGAGTAAGATGACCTCGGTATTCTCCTATAACATGTTTATGTTACTTACTCTTAATCTTCTTATAGTCAAGACTATTCCTACCTATCAATACGAGTCATTTCAACATGTTTTTTCCTTACTCACATGCATGTTAGAAAAATTTGTTGGAGATCATTTAACATCGAATTGCTCCAAATAGTACACTTAACCATGAAGTTCTTATGATTGAACCACAGAAAAGAAAAGTGCACCTTGTTGGTATAGATAACTTTTATTTCCTTTGAACCTTATCTTATTCTCAGGATCAATCTCATTATGATTGGAAAGTTTAACGGTATTATTGAAATTTTAAAAGTTAAAAAAATATTTTTTAGATAATATTCAAATCAAATCTATGAGTGATACCACCAAACCAAATCTATGATTCAAACCGACGTTTTCGTTTATTGCAAGGTATACACGATTGCATCGGAGGAATATGATCATTAATGAATGATAAGTATAGTAGTTGATAGTATGCAAATGGCAAACATTAGTGATTATTTAAGGCACAAAGCTTAATTAGTGGGAGCAACAACAAATTTCTAATCAAATTGGCTTTATGGATATTCACCATTTTAGTGACATTTATAATCAAATTTACATTATGAGCTACCCATTTTAGGGCAACGCCTAGAGAGAGCTATACCCAAACTTTATTCAAGAAGTTAATGGACGACCACGAAAAATCGTGTATCTATCATCGTATATTAATGATTTATCCTTTGACTAACAAATGTGACACTTATCATCGCATTTCTAACAATTCTTCGAGTGAGTAAAGTACCTCATAGAATCTCTCAAAACAGTAATGTATTAGTCTCTCGAACACATCGATTTTAAACGAGACCTCCCATCAAATGACATCTTAAAGTATTCCTCGTTTTATTACTTTTTTCCTAAACATTTTGTAACAGTCGAAGCCCACCGCTAATAGATATTATCCGTTTTGGTCCGTTACATATCGCCGTCAGCTTCACGATTTTAAAATGCGTATGCTAGGGAGATATCTCCACACCCTTGTGAAAAATACTTCGTTCCCCTCTCCAACCGATGTGGGATCTCACAATTCATCATCTTCGGAACCCAAAGTCCCACTTGTCCCTCTCTTCAACTGATGTGGATCTCATCTCCTTACAAATAGAAAACTGATCAATTAATGTGTTGAATATTTGGATCTCCTTCGTATTTACCCTAATATTGCTATAGAAATAGACACACCCACTTTTCAGACTTGAACATTTGTTGAGTATCAGCACAAATGAAGAACAAATACGTGCATATCTGATTTGATATCACTTAGCAATGCAATAGCCTTTCCTCTATTACCAATTATGGGCAACCCACTTGATCTTGTCAAGAACAACCACCTTATTGCATTTTATTTTCTCTTTATATACTTCTCTTGCCTTCAACCCTTCTAACTTCCTCAAGAATTTGGTAAGAAGAGCTGAATCTTTATCAAGTTCATCTTCTTGCATGCTTTAACAAGTTTCTTCTTGTTCATTTGTTGTAGGAAAAAGAACGTCAAACCCGAGGAGAATATGTCGAGGAATTTGAAGATCGTAGTGGTCATGTTCGTGTTCGTGTTGCTATTGACAAGCTCTTGCTTGATTACTAATGGGAAAGTTGAAGAGAATCAAGAGGTTCATGATGAGAATAATGGAAATGAAGGCAAAGGGAGAAGATTCCCAGATGAACAAATTCCTCATCGTGAGTGTACTAGGCAAGATTATAAGTGTTGGAAACAAGGACTAAATTAATTGACTACTTGTATGATGATATGTGTGCTTGTGTATAAATAAGTTATGGTGTGGTTGTAATCCTTGTCTTGAAAGCTATGAACAATATAATATGAATGTTTGAGTGTTGTAATCCTCGTCTTGAAACATTTTTGAGTCTCGTATAGATTGACGTGCTTGATAGAATGATCGAATTTTATTTTGACAAGTGCAAATCAAGAACGTGTTGATACAATCTAAGTTACATAGGCCTTAAAAGGAAGATCGAGTAGTGGTGGTTTTAAAGAGTAAAAGTGGTAATAATGGTCTAGTAGAGTTCGGAGATAATTTCATTAGAGGTTCTAAGAAGAAAAATTGTTCTAACTAGATCAAATGCTGACATGTCCTTAGGTTGATGTTCATGATATGTTCGTTTTATCATAGTTAGCCGTTTCACAAGTTTGCACATGACCATTGGCTGGACAATTACGAAAGGTGTGTGCGATGGAAGTTATGTCGATGATTGAATAATTTTTAGGTGTGCCGAGTGGAAGTTGCACCATAAATTTCAATAGGGTTAATTGACACGTGACGAAAAAAAAGACTCGAAAGCTAGTGTTTCGAGTGGTCTACGTTTATAGCATAATAGATGATAATTTACTAAGTTATGAGTTTTGATTGTCGATGAAGAGAAAATAGGTGTCATGGGTTTGTCTTAGCTAACCTTTACTTCCCACGGCATAAATATGTGAACTAAACGTCCACACCGAATATGGACCAAACTATCTCATGATGCTCTGAACCCAACTCACATACCGTCTTAGTCCAATCCTTAGAATATACTACAGCCTCAGATGGCGAAGAGATGACATCGAGGTGCCAAACCTTCCCGTTAATATGAACTCTTGGAAAAGATTAGTTAAGCTTTTTGAGACAAGTCTCCTCCTTCAAAAATTACACAAATTTAATATCTCATTTTACAGATAAAATTACAAGAAAATACATACTCAAGCAGCTTTCAACACAGGGAATACGAAACTATACCTAATATTTTGTACACACACCCACACCACAATTTATTTATATACATACTCATTTCATCATGTCTCCTATTTTGTATACACACCCACACCATAACTTATTTATATACATACTCATTTCGTCATGTCTCCATGACTCAAGAAACGAGTCTTTAACTTGGCATTACAAGTAATTTAGGGTCGTTCAATAACCGTTTCAGTTTTAGTTTTATTATTTTTAAAATTTGTGGACGGATAAAATGAGACTTAATGTTTATTTCCAGCGTCTGCATCTATCTTCCAACACGGATAACTACTCCGAGGACACTCGTGATGTTTATTATTCACATCAACTTTATTATCATCCTCAATCTCAAATTGGTGTTGATTCTTCACTTGAAGCAAGGGTCGGTTGGCATGAATAAGGAAGCAAGAGCTTGTGAGTAGCAACACGAACATGACGCTCACCATTGCAACCTTAGGAGTGATCCTCACCATTTTTTCTCCAATTTTTCTCTCTTTTCAACTGCAAATCAAGAACAAGAACAAGTAATTAGACACATGAAATAGTTTAATCTTACAAAATTAAGTATCTAATTTGAGTATTTCTCACCAAGCGATGAGTTCTTGAGCAAATTTTGAGGCTATATAAAGAAAATTTTGAATGGGAAATGTTGTTGTTTTTCAATGGATGAGTGGGCTGCTCATAATTCCCAAGATAATGGGTTTAAATAGATTTTTAGTGATGAATTTGAAGGAATTAGTTCTCTTCTAGACCAAATTGGAGCAATGTAGAGTCCATTTTAGAGCATACAACAAAGCCTCTTCCATTGCTCACCACCATCGAACATCAAATCAAATGGTTAATCGTTTAAAATTTTAAAAAATTCAAAAATATTTTTATCGTTAATACTAGGTGTAACGGTGTAAGCTTAGTACTAGCAGATATTGTCCTCTTGTCAGCCTACCCTCGAGGTTTTTAAAACTGTCTCGTAGTGAGAGATTTCCACACTCTTCTAAAAAAAAAATATTTCGTTCTCATCTCTCACCCATACGAGATCTCATAATAAAAAAATGTTTAACATGGAGTGGGTTAATAAAAATAAAAACTTTACAAAAATCTAAATTTTGTAGTTTTTTTTTTTTTTTTTAGAGGATGAGTTCTGTATCTAGCTTTGATACCATTTATAATGGCTCAAGCCCACATCTAATACTTATTATTCGTTTTGGCCTGTTTCATATCGTCGGTAGCCTCCCGATTTTAAAATGTGTCCCCTAAGAAGAGGTTTTCACACGCTTACAAGAAATGTTTCGTTCTTCTTTTCAATTAATGTGCTCACAATTCACCCCTAGAGAGTCAGCGTCCTTGCTAACACATGAAGAATAGTTGGGGATGCAAATCATTAGTTAGAAATTGACGAAGATTCATAATATATAATAAAAGTAATTGGGTACGATTTTTTTTTTTTTTTTTTTTTTTTTTTTTTTTTTTTTTTTTTTTTTTTTTT